TGAATTTGAATAGTTTGAGAAAAATCAGACAAATTAAAACAACACATTCCTGGGAACTGTTCACATCCCATGTGTTTGTTTAACAGTAGATAGTCTATAGTCGCATGATTTTGGAGCACTGCAACTTGCACCTCTCCTAATTCTTGGTTGAGTTCCCACAGTACAGATCCAGTCAAATTTGTTGTTTTACTATATGCACAGGCCAGCTTAGATATCTCCTTCTTCATTCCAACGGCAAGTCCAGGAACCGGTGGGATGACTGCAGCTACAACTGCAGCAGCGCCAGGATCTTTGTTGAAGTTTTTTGATGTTCATCTTTTGGAATGACTCTTCCAGAGGATGTTGATGTTGGCCTTCTTTTTTTTAAAGCTATCATTGATATACACTCTTATGAAGGATTCACATGAAAAACATTGTGGTTACTACATTCATCCATATTATCAAGTCCCCCCATACCCCACTGAAGTCACTGTCCATCAGTGTAGTAAGATGCCACAGAGTCACTATTTGTCTTCTCTGTGCTACACTGTCTTCCCCATGATCCTCCCCCTACTCCATGTGTACTAATCATAATACCCCCAATCCCCTTCTCTAACCCTCCCCCACCCACCCCTTTGGTAACTGCTAGTCCCTTCTTGGAGTCTGTGAGTCTGCTGCTATTTTGTTCCTTCAGTTTTGCTTTGTTGTTACACTCCAAAAATTAGAGAAATCATTTGGTACTTGTCTTTCTCCACCTGGCTTATTTCACTGAGCATAACACTCTCTAGCTCCATCCATGTTGTTGTAAATGGTAGGATTTGTTTTCTTCGTATGACTGAATAGTATTCCATTGTGAATATTTACCACCTCTTTATCCATTCATTTACTGATGGACACTTACATTGCTTCCATATATTGGCTATTGTAAATAGTGCTGCAATAAACACAGGGGTGCATACGTCTTTTTGAATCTGAGAACTTGTTTTCTTTGGGTAAATTCCTAGGAGTGGAATTCCTGGGTCAAATGGTATTTTTATTTTTAGTTTTTTGAGGTACCTCCATATTGTTTCCCACAATGGCTGAACTAATTTACATTCCTACCAGCAGTGTAGGAGGGAATTTGCTGTTCCTAGTCCTTTCGATGTTGGCCATCCTAACTGATGTGAGGTTTTAATTTGCACTTTCCTGATAATTAGCGTGTGCAGCATCTCTTCATGTGCCTGTTGGCCATCTGAATTTCTTCTTTGGAGAGGTGACTGTTCAGATCCTCTGCCCATTTTTTAATTGGGTTATTTGCTTTTTGGGTGTTGAGGCATGTGAGTTCTTTATACGTTTTGGATGTTAACCCCTTGTCGGATATGTCATTTACAAATATATTCCCCCATACAGTAGGATGTCTTTTTGTTCTGCTGATGGTGTCCTTTGCTGTACAGAAGCTTTTTAGCTTGATGTAGTCCCATTTGTTCTTTTTGCTTTTGTTTCCCTTATCCGAGGAGATGCATCCAGGAAAAGTTGCTCATGTTTATATTCAAGAGATTTTTGCCTATGTTTTCTTCTAAGACTTTTATGGTTTCATGACTTACATTCAGGTCTTTGATCCATTTCAAGTTTACTTTTGTGTATGGGGTTAGACAATAATCCAGTTTCATTTTCTTGCATGTAGCTGTCCAGTTTTTGTGAACCCCAGTTGTTGAAGAGGTTGTCATTTCCACATTGTATATCCATGGCTCCTTTATCATATATTAATTGACCATATGTGCTTGGGTTTATATCTGGCTCTCTATTCTGTTCCATTGATCTATGGGTCTGTTCTTGTGCCAGTACCAAATTTTCTTGATTACTGTGGCTTTGTAGTAGAGCTTGAAATCAGGGAGCATAATCCCCCCAGCTTTATTCTTCCTTCTCAGGATTGCTTTGGCTATTTGGGGTCTTCTGTGGTTCCATATGAATTTAGAACTATTTGCTCTAGCTCACTGAAGAATGTTGTTGGTATTTTGATAGGGATTGCATTGAATCTGTAGATTGCTTTAGGCAGGATGGCCATTTTGACAATATTATCTTCCTATCCATGTGCACAGGATCTATTTGCATTTATTAGTATCTTCTTTAATTTCTCCCATGAGTGTCTTGTAGTTTTCAGGGTATAGGTCATTCACTTCCTTGGTTAGGTTTATTCCTAGGTATTTTATTTTTTTTGATGCAATTGTGAATGGAATTATTTTCTTGATTTCTCTTTCTGCTAGTTCATCATTAGTATATAGGAATGCAACAGATTTCTATGTATTAATTTTGTATCCTGCAACTTTGCTGAATTCAGTTATTAGTTCTAGTAGTTTTGAGGTGGATCAGTTTCTCCTTCTTTTATGCTTCATGTTTCTGCTCTAGATTTTTGTTGTGTGGTCCCATTGAGGTTCACAAAATACATTGCATAGATAAAAGAAAGTTGTTTTCCTGCTCTATTCTTGTCAGCCTACATTTATTTATTTATTTTTATGAGGGTATCATTGATATACACTCTCATGAAGGTGTCACAAGAAAAACAATGTGGTTATTATATTCACCCTTATTATCGAGTCCCCTCCCATACCCCATTGCAGTCACTGTCCATCAGTGTTGTAAGATGCCAGAGTCCCTATTTGTCTTCTCTGAGCTACACTGTCTTCCCCGTGACCCCACACAAACCATGTGCACCAATCTTGATACCCCTCAATCCCCTTCTCCCTCCCTCCCCACTCGCCCTCCCACACCCCTCCCCTTTGGTAACCACTAGTCCCTTCTTGGAGTCTGTTGAGTCTGCTACTATTTTGTTCCTTCAGTTTAGCTTCATTGTTATACTCCACAAATGAGGGAAATCATTTGGTATTTGTCTGTCTGCCTACATTTTTATTGTTTCTTCACACATTTACTGATTTCCTTCTAGAAGATATATTTCATATGACTGAAGAAATAAATAACGAATAACCCCAAACTGAGATCTAGGTAAATAAATGTATTTCTCAAAGAGAGCTAGAATGCTAAATAAGGAATAAATCAAATAAGGCTTCTGATTTTTTACTGCAGGATTTAATTAGCCACACATCACTGCTCAACTTATTTCTTACTTCTGTGGAAAGTAGAAGTTACCTCTAATACTATCACCAAATGATAGTGTATATATATTTTTTATGTTTTCAACCATTTTTAATTGGGGAAAATAGAAATAAATATTTTCTTTTTCATTTGGATGTTTAGCAATTTGTGGGCTCAAAGTTAAGTCTGTAGACTGTTAACACACTGATATGTGATAATAGCTATTTGTTTATTCAAGTTGAATTCACTCCTGAAAAATTTATTCAGAAGAATGTAATGTCAAGTGAGCAGTCTCACTTAAAATTTGTTTCACTTATATAACTGAGAAGAACTTAATTATAATCTGGATGTTTGAACTTCTTATGTGTCTGATGACTTTTCATTTAGAATGCTAAAGGCATTGACAGGTTTGAAATAGTGTAAGAATGATCAAAGAACTGTTCTTTGAGTAATAGCTAAAATGGTAGATTAATAATCAAAATGCAAAATTTCACATGTGTTTCCAGTGCTTTAACATTCTTTTAGTTTTCTCTAACTTTTACATTTTCAAGATACTTTAGATTCTCCATAGTAATTCCTTCCCCCTTGCGCATGAAAGATCTTACTTTTGTTATGTGGGACATCATAAAATAAAAGATTTTGTCAGTTCTAAGAAATCATCATTCCATTCTAACATGTAAGTCCTTAAATGTGACCTTTTTCTCCTTCTGAATAATAGGAAAATCAGGTGAAATCTGTTACATTTCAAAATCTTCCAAAAGTGAAACTGAAGTCTAAAACTAAATCTCAAACCAAATAAACAACAAGTGGGAGAAATATAAAAGGGAGGGGGATAGAAAAAATATTAAAGTATGTGGGAAAAAACCCCATGAATGTTCAAAGGATACACAATATTTTAAAGTAAAAGTGTTTTATTGTTTGCATCTTGAAGCTTTAGATGCTGTTTGACTGTCATTAGGAGTAATCACTTTCTGGGAGAAATATGCCTTTTGCAATCCTATAGTGATTTGCATAAAGAAGTTGCATATTATGCATATGTGAGGTTGGCAATATGAACAATATTCAAGTAGTAAAGGGCACACTTGACCATTTAACCTCAGTAAATGGTTAGGTTAAAATTGTAATTTTCTAAATTAAAAAGTTCTTAGGCTGTACTCACAGAAATGTGCACTTTGAAAACTTGTTCCAGATTAAATGAATTATTCAAAACATTTACAGCAAGCACCCACATCTCTGTGTTCCCCAGAAAGAAAAAGTGGGAACTATCTGGGGCCATGCATGTATGCAAGTAATGATTTAGGGACATATATTCTGCCCCTAAATTTAGGTCAAGTATTTCTGCATTCAATGATGATTTACTGAAATAGGATTGAAAAGGTGAATTATTAAAAAGGATTGAAAGTCCTCCATTTTTAAGATGCTTTCTTCCTCATGCAGAGGGATGAACTAACTGAGAATACATCTTTCTTCTTTAAATTGAAAAGATATTAAGAAAATTTAGCATTTAATTAAAACCAATGTGAATACATCAAAGTGATGCCTCCTGTGATCAAAATCTTGCAAAATCTACTCAGTTTCAGCATGTCCCTCAGGTATATCTCAACTAATACTTTCCCCAAAATATGTTTCTTCAAATAACTTTTTTCACTTACTTTATTTTTCAAATAATTTTCATGTTGAAAACAACCCAATTTTCATTCCAAAGTCACTCTCCTGCCTATATTGTAAACTACTCAGGTACATCTGTAGGGCAAGGCCCTGAGTACTTAAAGTAGATTGAGTGGGGAAGATGTTTCATGGAGAAGCTGCAAACAAGCATTGACCAGATTTGAATGGTGTATGACCCACTCAACGTGATAGCACTTTGGCATCCCAGCTGGTTTCCACTGTGGCCATAGTTCAGTTCCTGGCCAGGAGGTGGGATTCTGAGTTGAGGATGTGCACTGACTCACCTTTTGGTACTTGTGCTGGAGATGGGCAAGTAGTCCATGACAGCAATATATACATACTGCTTGGCATCATCTATCACACTGTAGATGGCGTCTATGTCAAAGCTTCTGTTTTTAGGGCAGAAGAGTTTGGGAGAATTCTGTGAAGATAGAAAAACCAAACTTTTAGAGTATTAATTTTTGTTATCTGGGGATTTCTTTTTGTCTTTTTCAAAAATTTGTGGATCTTGGCTTCTAACTAAATTTTTGCAAACCTACTTTCTAGTTCTTTATGAGATTAGACAAATACATCTACAGTTCTACCAAGCTGAGATGTGTGTAGACAGCAAGGTGTGGTAGGGTGGATCTCATGTCTGTCCTTTATGCCTGTTTAGGGAGGAAATTCCTGTTTTCAATACACACACCTCTGATTTTTGGAAGAGGGCTCCAGCTCTAAACTTATGTGATTGTAGTGAACATACCTGTCATAGACAGTTGTTCATTTTCTCAGGCATTGCCATATATATACCATATGTAGCAAGCAATTTACCCTAGAAGTTATTTCATTTGAAAGATGATATGGCCATGAAAATGTTCAAGACACACAACCTAAAGATCTTAGGGTTTTTTTTCTGAATCTTTCATCAAGTCAGGAAAAGAAGTGTTGATTATTGAGCAAGGTCAACAAATAATTCTAGAGGAAAAACTGAGTGAATTCTTAAGATGCCCAAATTAAGGAGAGATAGAGAAGAAGGATATTCTGAAAGATTTAAGCAAAATGAAAAAAGATGCAAAGTATATACCTAAGGGTTTTTTCCCAAGTTGCTCAAAGTGGTTTCCATCTTATAAAAGTATGACGTTTTTGGATGAAGTTGCTATAGAAAGGGGAAAACACACTTTGTGTTTCTCACCGTTTTCTCCTTGGACAAGACAGAAAATAGTGTTTCCGTAGTTCCTATCTCACTCTGACAAGCAATGTTCCACGGCAAGTGGCAGAGCACAAAGACAAGAGGGATTTCATAGCAAAAGGCGGAAGAAGTGGTTTCTGGAGCTGCCAGGAGGGCAGTATTGGGTCCCTCATCAGTTGTGTGGGACAACCCCTGCACTGAGCTGGCAGGACTCCCCAATCCCCGCTCAGACAGAGAGCAGGCAAAGCTGGCGGGCTGAAGCCTCCTGAGGTGTAGGGGAGGGAGCATGCTGAGGGTGACACACCCTCCTGGGGGCCCTGCTCAGAATGTCAGCTTGGCAGGTAAGTAGCACAATGAGATGTTGATCATTTAAATTATCTTTCTTTTGGAATGAGGATGTGCATTGAAGTCTTGAAAAAAAACTGAAGCAAGCAAGCAAGGAAGAAAAGAAAAACAACCCTCACCCCCCAAAACAAAAACAACAAAAAACAAATCAAAAGCCAGTACTGGTGCTACACTCTCCAGCACACATACAGACACTATGTGTGTCACCAAGAGAGAAGCCGCTTCCCGCCGTTCCCCGTCGTGTCGCTGCTCTTACTCTGATGGCTGTTCCCCTCATTTGGGGCATGAGTGCTGTTTGCTGGGGCTTTTACACATCCTCCTAACTCATTTCCTCCTAACTCATTTCCTCATTTCCATGGCATTTAAGAAACACACACGTGCATTCTCAGGACTCCTGGTCTCTCGGAATCCAGCTTGCCCTCTTGGGAGGATGTATCCCAGGCCTCTGCCACCCAGCCTCCCCACTTTCTCTGCCTCCCTCTTTAGCCACCTGCCATGTTCTCTGTGCCCCAAACCAAAACACTGCCTGGTCACGGCCAGGCTGTCATCTCCTTGGCCCCAGTGCGTTTGCTCCCATGGCCTCTCTAGCTCCAAATGTCCATGTTGATGTTTCAGTTAGGCATTTCCTGAACTTCTTTGCATGTTCCAAAAACTAGATTTTGGTTTCTGGGGGGAACAAATATAGAGTTGTTGGTCTCTTTGTATTTACTGTTATCTTACAAGTTTGGGTGGTGATACAAGGTCAGGTGCCAACACTTCCTGCCTGCGCAGGGTCCCTTACACTTTCTGAGCCTCCTTTCCTACTGGGGTCATGACAGTGACACACCTTTCATGCTGGTTTGCCTTGAGGCTTAAATAAGAGAATGGTCTGATGGCTGGCTGTGCTGTTCAGCACTGACCCCCTGTGCTTTCATTCAGTCAGCATTACTGAGTGCCTCCCAGACTCTTGGCTCTCTTGTCTAGGCACTTGACATCGTCAATGATCAAAATAAGATTCCTGCTTTGTGGGGCTTCCTTCCAGCATGTGTTACACTGTATTGTATTCGATTGTCTGTGTGCCTCTCCACTACTCCACTGTACCTCTCACCTTGTGCTGTGCTTGTTTGGCACATAGATGCTCAATCAGTATTTGTAGAGTGAATGTGACATGCTCCTTAAAGTAATGCTTGTTGGAGGTTTGCATGACCCCCACCTCCACTTGTGGTTGGGGTTGTTTCACTCAGTGTTTCCATCTGCATGTGAACACATCTTGTTTTGCATTTGCCAGTCTCACTGTTTCCTACATACGTGCAGCTGCACCTAATTCCTAGGTGCGGAGGCACCTTGCTTCTAGGTAATCTATGTTTCTCTCTTAGGAAGTACCTTATATATGCATGTAACTTGTTTTGCAACTCATTAAACACTTGCCTTAGCAGGTTTCTGGTTTATTTCATAACAGTTTCTTAGTTTTTGAAAAATCCATACTCCATCCCCAGAATATGTATGTTAAAATATAATTAAACATGAAAAGGCAACTCACAGAATGGGAGAATATATTTACAAATCGTGTATCTGATAAAGTACCTGTATCTACAATGTATAAAGAACACTCACAATTCAATAATAAAAAAGAAAGTAACCTAACTGAAAAGTGGGCAAAGTGTTTGACAGACATTTTTACAAAAAGATGCAGAAATGGCCAAAAAGCACATTAAAATATACAAATCCAAACCAAAATTAAACACCATTTCATACCCAGGAGGAGAGCCAAAATAAAACAGAAAATAACAAGCATTAGCAGAGATGTGGGAAAACTGAAACCCTTATTTATTGTTGGTGGAATTGTAAAATGATGCAGCCAATTTGAAAAACAGTTAGTCAGGGCCTCAAAATGTTCAACATAGAGTTACCCCATTACCCACTCCATTCCATTCCTTTGTGTACCCAAAAGAATTAGAAAGAGGTACTCAAATAAGATCTCATACATGACTATTCATAGAATCACTATTCGAAATAACCAAAAGGTAGAAACAAAGGTAGGAACAAACCCAAACGTACATCAACTGATGGACAGTAAAACAAATTGTGGTATATCCATGCAATGGAATATTATTTGGCCATAAAATGCTGCAACATGAGTTTCAACTTTGAAAACATTATACTAAGTGAAAGAAGTAAATTACAAAAGAATACATATTGTATAACTCCATTTCTATGAAATGTCTAAGGAAAAGGCAAATTCCAAGAGACAGAAAGTAGATTATTGGCTGCCAGGTGGTGAGGATGAGGGGAAAATGGAGAGTGACTGTTAATATGTATGACGGTTTTCTTTATGGTGACAAAAACATTCTAAAATTAGAGGGCAGAGATGACTGAAAAACTCTGTGACTATATACTGAAACCCACTGAACTGTACACTTTAAAAGGATGAATTTTATTGTATGCAAATTATATTCCAACAAAACTGTTAAAGATATAATTAATAATATACAGTGGAGGTTCTAAAGAGGAATCTGATGTGGCATTTTCCAGAGCAGCACCAAGTTCTACTTAATGTCCATACCCTCACTTTCTAAGTAGATCTCAGTATATTTGACTGATGGTTGGACAAAACTATGAACAAGAAAAGAAATTCATCTAGCAAGCAGATTAATAAAAACAGGCCTTGAACTTAATTAGTCTTTATCTCAGAAAGCAAATGCACAATCTTAAGGACTTTAAAAAGAAATTTCCACAACAGGACAAAAATTCAGCCAACTATAGCCCCCATCTTCTGATTTCAATGGGATGGGAAATATAAGAAAAATGGAATTATTTGGTCCAGTGTTACAAGAGAGCACATAGTTAAATCTAACCAAGCACTTATTTGTGTTCCATGGGAAAATTAGAAAGAATCCATATTTATATCAAACCTTAAATTTTATAAGCTAAAATTGCTACTCATCTAAAATCTAATTTGGGGAGTGATAATTCTTAAGACCTTCAAATAGCTTTTTTTTGTGTGTGTGTTAATTTAATCTTGGGACTGTCAGTTTATAAAAATATACTATACTATTTTAAGATATTTTACAACAAATATTCTGAATTTAAATAATTTTATCCTGGTATTTGTTTGGAACATATTACTCAGAAAATTGTAGGCATCCTGGAACTTTTTAAATGATATTACTACTAATAAAACCAACCCAATGTTTATTGCTGCTTTTAGGAAGACCTGAGTGAGACACAGGGAATATCAATGATGAAGACAGTTCAGTCTATGACCTTCAGAGACTTATAAAACAGTGGGAGGGAATATTATTAAACAAAGAGTTAAAAATTGTGACAAATGCTATAATAGAGGTGGAATCAGGGAGTTCTGGGCAAATGATACTGATTCCAATAGTGGGTTTTCTGACTTTATACCTATAAGATGTTATACCCCTGCAAAAACAGTGTTCAATTAATATCTGTTTAATTGAAATTCAAAGGTAGGCTTGATATTAGTAGGAAATAGAAAATAAAAAAATGGCTTAAAATAATAAAAGAAATAAAAACAGAAAGTAAAGCATTACATAGTTTAAAAGATTATACCTGAAGAAGTGTTTCACACCTCATTTTGTGCAGACCATTTAATAAAAAGCAATTTATAAATTTGCCCTAGACTACTACAAAGGGTTGTGTTTTAGCACATTTTATTAAAGGTCTAAGTTCTGTCTCTGAGTAGCTATGTTAACTTTGGAATCAACAAAGGGGAATTCACCGACCTTTTTAAGGGTCAAAATTTAAATTTATGCAACAACCACAATCACTTATCTCTAAGATTTAAACCATGAATTCAAAATCCAGCAATTATCTGAAGTTTGCTCATAATTCATTTACTTCTTGCTGCTTCCCATCTGTTCTACTGGACCTGGTGAGTGAGTGAGCATCCCTTGGGGTGTCATGCCACCCTGTTACCATCTGGATTAAGGGTTCGTTGGCAAATTTCCTATTGATACTCATCTACAAATAGAGAATAATATTTGGCTTTCTTGTCTTACAGGGCTATCTTGAAAAGAAATACAATTGAATATATGCAATAATTTTATTAGTAAAATGCCCTATAAATATGCTTGCTATAGTGTTACTGACCTCCACACATACAAAAAGAAAAAGAGAAAGGAGTATAGGCTATATTTGATGAAAATCTTTCATAGTCGATTTTCTGCTATTCACATGAATGTGAATTTGTTATTTAAGATAAATGACTTCAACTTCCTCTTTTCTCTCTGTTGCTGCATTTCTAAATTTCCAGATCGTATTTTTATCTTAATAGGGAAAAAGGATACAATTCACTTTTCAGTGTAGTGCTATTAAATGATATAAAATTTGTGGGCATAAAAGCAATGGCTATCAATGGAGATATGGCCATGATCAGCTGGAGCATGGTTTTAGAGATGCTTGTCTGAGCATCAGGATCCAGGAGCCTGATTCAAATAAAAATTCCAAGATGTCACTCCAGGTCCAGTGGATCAGATATAGTGGGGACTATAAATCTTCATTTTAAAGGGGCTCCCCAGTTGGCTTTGAAGTACTTCAACATTTGAGAAAAAGGGCTGCAGGCCAGGTGCGTACACTGCCCACTCCCAGGAGCACCGTGGGGATGGTGGATGGTGTGTGTCGGGGATGTGGAGGGGTGGTGGTTTTGAGTGAAGCCAGAGGCCTGGGAGCTGTGCCTTCCCTCCTGGGTGGGCCTCCTGTTGTCCAGTCCCAATCAGGTACAATTGCTCTGCTTTTGGCTGATTTACACACCAGAGTTCCCTCAGATGTTTTTCATCAAAGGGTTCTATTGCTAAGAACAAGTCTGAAAAATCAACAATGTAGGGTGTTGAAAATAGGATGTGAGGTCAGAAGGTCTGGGTGCTAGAGCTGGTCTTGGCACCTGCATCTGAGGGTCTTTGTGCTACAGATAAGTGCCAATGTCTTCATGTGCAAAATGGTCACGATCTTGGGTCTGCCTGATGGGACAATTGTGGGTCAAATCAGAAAACACAACATATCAGAAACTAGTAATGATTATGAATGCTTATTATTGATCTTGTCATCAGGGACAGTATATGATTATACTTAAGAGCATTTTAACATATTTTTACTCTTCAAGGAATGGAACGGAACTGATCTGTCAAATTCATTTTTGCCCAACACAAGATCATGATCAATCATCCCAACTTGATAAAGGACCTTTGGGGCAAGGAGGGAGGAGGTGGAGGAGAAGGAGGACAACCACTCACCGACACGAAAGCTTGAGATTTGGTTTCGTTCAACTGAAGCTGCAGTTTCTTCTCGTTGTCATAGACTCCATAGAGCCGCTTGGACCAGGTCTGAGGTACTCTGCTCTTGAATTTTAATGAACTATATAAAGCGAATATCCTTTGTAAATCTAAGACCAGGCAGCTGCAGTTGTAGAAGATGACACCCAGTTCTTTCATCTGTCAAATTAGAAAGAATCAATGCCATGTACGTCTGATGGTGTTATTTTCAGAGACAGAAAAAATGCACAAGAATGCAATGGCAGCTGTTTTCTTGCAGTTGTCACACAGAAGCATGTAGTCACATTATGGTGCACAGAAGAGATACATTTTAACAATGTTTACTTAAATATTTAAGGGGGACTTTTGCTTGCCTTTTACATCTGGGCTGTTATAAGTAAGTTTTCCATATTCACCTTCACTTTTTGTATTGGATCTTCAGACTTATTGCCTCAACACTCTCTTTCGGTATGAATCCCTGAAACATGCAGCAATGACAGAATGGCTTACATCACAGACTGTGGAGTCCGACTGCCTGGAATTAGTCCCAATTCTACAACTTTCTAACTGTGTGATTTGGGAAAAGATACTTCATCTCTGGACCTCATTTTCTTCTTCCATAAAATGGAGAAAATAGTATTTATTTCATATACAGTTGACCCTTGAACACAGAGACACAGCTTCTCCCTAACATACCTATACACACACACACACACACACACACACACACAGGTCACAGGAGAATGCCATTGATTGTTGGCAGCAACCTTCTAGAAGGAAGCAAGGAAAGATTATCCCCCAGATCCTTTAGAGGGAGCATGGCTCTGCTAACACCTTGATTTCAAACTTCTAGCCTCTAGAACTGTGGGGGAATGAATTTCTGCTCTTTTCAGCCACCAAGTTTATGGTCATTTATTATAGTAGCCCTAGAAAATAGATATGGTGCATCTTACCTTGACAGTGGGTCAGGTAGATACAGAGTTTATTCCCATTTCATAGAGAGGCTTCAATTGTTCTTTGCTCAATAGTAAATGACATAACTGAGTGGAGATTTGAGCTCTGGTCTGTCCATCTCAAAAGCCTGTGCACCTATCACCATGGTACACTGCACTGAGCATGAGGTTAGAGTACAGCCCATGGTGTCTACTGCTATTAATTTTACTAAACCTTTTCTGCCAACACATTTCTTACTTCATCTAGTACTGTACTTGGTACATATTTCTGGTGTGGTATGCTTTTACACTGTCTCATAATTTAAAAAATCTTCTGTGTATGTTTCCTCTAAGTAATTCCACAATCTCTGACGAGAGGGACTATGTCAGGTTCATATTTTCATCTCCAGTGATGTGCTGTAGTACATGCTTAGAAAATGTTTACTGAATGCACACTTGGCCTTTGAAATGAATAAATGGTGCTAGCTCCAGGTCAGCCAGATGCCCTCTGACCCCAAGCATCTGAATTTAACAAGAACCTCTCTTCTGGTGCCAAGACCTGGAACAGCAAACTTGGAGATGACCACATAAAACCCATGTGGCCATGCGCAGAGAGATCCACCCAGAAGACCTTCGCAAGCATGGTGCTCACTGATCTGTATATTCTCCCTAACATACCTATACACACACACACACACACACACACACACACAGGTCACAGGAGAATGCCATTGATTGTTGGCAGCAACCTTCTAGAAGGAAGCAAGGAAAGATTATCCCCCAGATCCTTTAGAGGGAGCATGGCTCTGCTAACACCTTGATTTCAAACTTCTAGCCTCTAGAACTGTGGGGGAATGAATTTCTGCTCTTTTCAGCCACCAAGTTTATGGTCATTTATTATAGTAGCCCTAGAAAATAGATATGGTGCATCTTACCTTGACAGTGGGTCAGGTAGATACAGAGTTTATTCCCATTTCATAGAGAGGCTTCAATTGTTCTTTGCTCAATAGTAAATGACATAACTGAGTGGAGATTTGAGCTCTGGTCTGTCCATCTCAAAAGCCTGTGCACCTATCACCATGGTACACTGCACTGAGCATGAGGTTAGAGTACAGCCCATGGTGTCTACTGCTATTAATTTTACTAAACCTTTTCTGCCAACACATTTCTTACTTCATCTAGTACTGTACTTGGTACATATTTCTGGTGTGGTATGCTTTTACACTGTCTCATAATTTAAAAAATCTTCTGTGTATGTTTCCTCTAAGTAATTCCACAATCTCTGACGAGAGGGACTATGTCAGGTTCATATTTTCATCTCCAGTGATGTGCTGTAGTACATGCTTAGAAAATGTTTACTGAATGCACACTTGGCCTTTGAAATGAATAAATGGTGCTAGCTCCAGGTCAGCCAGATGCCCTCTGACCCCAAGCATCTGAATTTAACAAGAACCTCTCTTCTGGTGCCAAGACCTGGAACAGCAAACTTGGAGATGACCACATAAAACCCATGTGGCCATGCGCAGAGAGATCCACCCAGAAGACCTTCGCAAGCATGGTGCTCACTGATCTGTATCAATGACAGACCTTAGACTGGCCAATGAGCTAAGTGTCCTCTAAATGTCCTTTCTGTACCTACCAACAATGGGGTGCAGAGACCAACACACAAGAAACGACTATGTTATGTGAAATAAATCAGACATAGACAAATACCATATGATTTTTACATATATTGGAATCTAAATAACAATACAAATGAAAAAACAAAACAAATAGACTCATAAACATGAAGAACAAATTGATGGTTGCCATACAGGAAGTGGGGGGAGGATGGGTTTATTAAGTGAAGGAGATACAGAGGTACAAATTTCCAGTTATAAAATAAAAGTCACAGAGATGTAAAGTACAGCATGGGGAATATAGTCAATACTATTGTAATAACTTTGCACGGTGACAGATGGTAACTATGCTCACCATGGTGAGCATTTAGTAATGTATATAATTGTCAAATCACTATGATGTACACTTGAAAAACTACTATAATATTGTATGTCAACTATTCTTCAATAGATTTGGGAATCTATTCTTGATTTGGGAATCAAGAGCCCCAGGGCACTGTTCATGGTACTTTATGAATGGTAAAAAATGAAATGTCATTTCTTAATGTAAAATTAATTTTTATCAAATGTTAAATTTATGTGTTAAAAAAATTAAAAGAATGTGGGAATATTCTGATAGTTCTGGAAACATTCTGAAGTGTCTGACAGGACACTTTAAACTCTGTGTTGTGCAAAGTGTATGTTTCCTCTTCAAATCCATAGCAGTGGTCAAAATGTATGTGCTAGGTTAATTACAATCATGACCTTATTGTATCTATATCTACATTTGTATTTACACCCACATCCAATTCCAGCTCTACATCTACATCATCTCCATCTCCATCGTCTCCATCTATATCTATATCTGGCTCCAAATCTACATCTATGTTACATCATCTGCATCTACGTTGATCTTCTACAAGCTGAGCACCATGTCAGGCTCTGAGACTACAGCAGAGAACAAGGTATACTTGGTTGCTGCCTTTAGGAGGCTTAAAGCATAGAGCATGGCAGGGAATAAAGACAAAAAACATAAAGCTATCAACATTATTTATGATAGCAGTACTTATTTTAAGGTAGGTGTCCTAATTTCCTGTATTAGAGATAAGAACACTGAGGCTCTGGTCACCAGTCTTGGCCAAGGTAATTTTGCTAATATGTAGCCGAGTTCAACTCTGAATACCGTTAGTCTTTACTTCTTAGCCTGTTGTTTCCACTCCTTCACCTGCTAGGATGTCTGTACCTCTACATGCTTGAGAGCAGTTTCTTTCTACCCAGCACTTCCCATCATTCTAAAGGAATACTTTATTGGCTGAAGGGCTGGCTCACTTGCTCTACTGACCTCAGAACACTTCTATCAGACCGGTTAGCTAAGCTAAAAGGCTGGAGATTGCCAACTACGAGTGTTTCTAAGTGTAAATGTGAGTATTTGAACAAAGTCTGATTCCCAACAAAGGCATGGGAGATGTAGTGCATAAGGCTCTAATTGAAATAGAGCGTGCTTAGGTCATATGTGGCTTGGATTTTCACTGAAGTCAGTGGACACTATCGTTCTCAAGATGCAATCCATTCCTCTCCACAGAAGATGGGTTCCTCTGGGAAATCCAGGAAGATGAAGACAGATGTTTCATGGAAGCCAAATGAGAGTACATCTTTGTATTTACATCCTTGTAAAACGTTGTATTAACATGTCTCTTCAGCTTGCACTAGCCTTCCCCTCACAGCTGTGCCCTGGGGTTCTCTTAAACATAAGCCAGCACACTGACATCAGACAAAGCCACTCTGTGACTGTCCATGGAGGACCAAGACAAAACAAGGCAATTCCATAACCACGTCCGAACAGACAAAAACATGAGCGCTGTCGGAGTCACAAAAATGGCCAACGGTCCTCATCCTCCTCATCTGCGTGACTGCTGCTTCTTCACCAGCTGCACGTTAGCCTTGATTGACTCCCCTTCCCATACACATGGGAGATAACACTCTTACTCACACAAATGCCCCTACTTCCTGACAGCACCCAATCCTGAGCAAAGCCCTGTTCCCTTAAACCCTCTTCCAAATCGCCTAACACAAGCCCAAATCCCATAAGAAGTCCTTTCTAAAACCCACTTACCGAGACACCCCAGTGCCACCCTGTGCAGTCTCCCTCCCTGTGACAAGCAACTTGTTCAGCCTCAGCATGCTTGCTGGGCTTTGGCTGGAGGCAGTGCCACTACCTTCCCCCCTGACACCCACATCACTGTGAGGCCACACGTCATAAGGCCCGGTGCCCAGGGCCCTGCATGTGCTGACTGCTGTAACTCTATCCTCCAGTATCCTAGAGTTCACTGTGCTCCCGTGCACTGCAGAGGCAGTAGGTATGCAATATTGCTCTAGCACAACAAGAAGTTGCCCAGGCAACAGGGCAGGAGGTATTTCGGGGGGGAATGAATGAATGAAGGCAATAACGGCACTTGCGGAAAGGCACAAAAAAGGCTTGCAGTTTAGGAAGAGGCTTCACCCACCAGAACCCAAGGCCCACATCTTCTGAGACATTTTCAACGTTGCTCTCTCTTCTGGTCTCTGTATCTATTATATACCATGTTTCAGAATGCACACCATCACAGGTTTTATCTGGAAATCTGGTGAGCCAATTATTTAAAAGCTAATG